TTTACTTTACAGTTTCTGGACTTTGTCAACATTTCTTTGTTACCAGATGAGCGTCCTGAAGACCTTTTCCAGCGTCTGGTTGCCTTTGTTGAAGATAACTTGATGAAGACTGAGGGTAATATCATACACCATGGGGAAGAAGTCACCGAGGATGAAGAATTATCCCCATCTTTTGAGAATTTTATTGTGCTCACGTGGCTTAGCCTCATACATAAGGACTATTTGGCTAAGCATTGCTATGGCACTGAACTACGTTCACCCACCCTTGCATCCATAAAGCCTGAAATCTCTCAAGCTATGTCCGCCCTTCAGGATGAAATTATGACTTATCAGGACATTAAAGTTATGAGAACTGCAGCGTCATTCCCCCCGTCAGGGCAAACGACAACACTCTCGCTCAAACAGTTTCCCCCACAAGAACACTGACAAGTCTTGTCCTCTGTGCAAGTTGGCTGACAGACCTGACCGCCATTTTCTGAGTGAGTGCAGTTACCTTCCAGCTAGTGATAAACGTTATCTAGCTAAGGCTCGACAGATCGTGCTTGCTCTTGAAGACGATTCCTACAATAGTCATGACCAAACCCCTGACTGTGACATTAAAGAGTATGAGGAACCAGTCGGTGTGATGAGAGTTCAAGTCTCTCAGTCCCCCTGCCTCAATACCTTTTACCAACATCACTTAGCACGCATTATCTTGGACAGGGGTGCTACCTGAAACATGGTGAAGTTATCTGTGGCAAACAACCTGGACCTTGATGTTAAGATTAGCACCCAGTCAGCGAGGCAAGCAGATGGTGTTTCACCCCTCAGAGTTGTGGGGGAAGTTAGTGCTGTCTTCCTTCGGCGCGCCAGGATGAATTCACATTCGAGAGGTGTTGTTGTTGAAGATTTGGATGTCGACTTTTTAGCTTTCCCTTTATGGAATTGAATGACGTTTATGCCAGACCCGCAAGGCGACAAATCTTTCGAGGTGAAGGGGTCATCGTTGATTACAGCCATTCAGGGAAGGAGTCAAAGCTTGATCAACACACTCTTAGATGCGCACAGTCCCACGACTGTTTGCCCGGGAGACTACGTCGAGCTGGAAGTTCTTCTGGAGTTCACTACACATGAACCAAGGGTTGAGACTGGCCTCAGGTTGACATCGTTCCCAGTGTCTGCGGACGAATACGCATCCCGAACCTGATGGATGAGCCTTTGTCATTGAAGCATGCACACTTCTGCCAGGTGAGACACTTCACTAGAACAGCCTCAACCTCTCTGTATCGAAGACCATTATTGCACCCACATCCACAACCAGTGCAATCTCTGCAAGCCCTCACCGGATCTCTACATTGTCTGCTTGTGCTCCTCCTGAGAAAGTAAAAGGACTTGATGATGCTATTGCCGGAAAGGAGTCAACTGATCGAATACATTGGACTGAAGATCTCATCCAACTGTTCAGGGATTCTCAGAGGGCTCTCTCAACTTGTATTGTACTCACTCTTCCACGTACTGGTGACCAGTTATGGGTTGTCACCGATGGTTCGGTTAAGAGACAGGGTGTTGGTGCTACCCTCTATGTTACTCGAAACAACAAGCCTCTCCTTGCCAGTTTCTTCAGCTCCAAGCTCCGAGTGATTTGGTTACCATGTGAAACAGAAGCACTTTCCATCGCTTTAGCCTTCAAACACTTCAGCCCTTACATGATCCAGTCAAAACATAAAACTTGTACAGGGGAGAATTTTCTGCCAGTCTGCGAGTGTACATATTCCTCTCCATTGTGAGCCACCATCAAGCATCTATTAGTCACCTTGCAGGTGCTGCAAACCTGCCTTCGGATTTTGCGAGCAGAAATGCACCAGATTGTCATGAACCCACTTGTCAAATTTGCTCTTTCGTGGCTTGTACGGAAGATTCGGTTGTCCGTAGCACTTCCATTCAGGACCTTATCACTGGAGTCAAGAGTACCATTCACAAGCAGAGCTGCCTGGAAATCCATCCAGTCAGAGTGCGATGATCTTCGACGCACACATGGACATCTCACTCAAGGTACACGTCCGTCCAAGAAGTTGACTAACATCAGGGTTGTTAAGCGTTACCTACAGGTCGCTTCCATTGCGCGGGACGGCTTACTTGTTGTTGTCAAGGAGGAGCCCTTCACGTCTAAAAGAGAACGGATCATTGTACCACGTCAAATTGTCAGCAGATTACTGACAGCCCTACACATTCAACTCAATCATCCAACCAATCACCAGATGAAACAGGTCATACAGCGCTACTTCTATGCCTTGGATCTTGAGAAGACTATCAAAGCCACCACTGCCAGTTGCCATAGATGTCAATCACTTCGCAGCTTACCACATACAGTGATCCAACAGTCCAATGGAGACCCGCCTAATAAATTGGAATCAGTTTTGCAGCAGACGTTGTTCGCCGCAACTGGCAATTCATACTTGTAATCAGGGAATGTGTCACAACTCTTACACTGTCCTGTCTACTCGACTACGAGAGTCACAACACACTCCACAGCTCACTGATAGCTTTGTGCAGTGAAGTTGACCCAATGGATCGACTGCATGCGGTCATTCGAACTGACCCAGCTCCCGGTTTGTAGCCCTTATTAATGACAGGTTTGTGAAACAAAATGGTCTAGTTATTGAAATCGGTTGAGTCAAGAACAAGAATAAGAACCGGTTGCATTAACTGAGTTAATGCGTCAAGACACTTAGTGCAGTTAGGTCTCGCCCCTCAGCCTTTCTCTTGCCACTGCAAGGTTTCTCCGCCAGGGAAATGTGGCCACAACGCGACCAGCACACTAACTCTCAGTTGCCTATACATGACATGGATCTTATTCTTAGTCAACATGGTCAACGTGTTTCCAATCATTTACCAAAAGAGAAGTCTAAGACTCCCACCCTCAAGCAAGGCCTGACACCTGACATTGATGTGGGAAGCATCATCTACATCCACAGCGATGGTTCCAAGTAACATGCCCGTGATTGTTACATCGTCACAGCAGTTGACAATGACTGGTGAAACGTTTGCAAATTCACCGGATCACAGCTTCGAAACACTTCCTATAGAGTGAAAAAGTCGGTATGTTACTCTGTTACAAAACCTTCACTGCAACAAGCATCCACTGTGTCTGCAGATCTACAATATCTGCCAGTGGGAGATGATCATGACAGATTCCCAGAGTCTCTACCTCCTCCTCCTATACCAGATGTCATCATGCAGAGAGAGCTGACCCCTATTATGCCGACGTGAATTCACACCCTTACCACACCGGTTAGGTCCCGTAAGTTCGACCTTTGGATGTGTGTAAAAACAAACTGGTGGGTTTGGAGGGGTATGGTGTTTAGGTCGGCTAGTTCTAGACAATGGGCAGTCAATGTTTTCACAACGACACTGTTAATGCTAAAATGTTCACCGGAACATAACTGAACAAGGATTATGCTGCAAAATGTCATTTTTATATGTGAGTGAGTGAGTTTAGTTTTACGCCGCACTCAGCAATATTCCAGCTATATGGCGGTGGTCTGAAAGTAATCGAGTCTGGACCAGACAATCCAGTGATCAACAGCATGAGCATCAATCTGCACAATTGGGAACGGATGACATGTGTCAACCAAATCAGCGAGCCTGACCACCCAATCCCGTTAGTTGCCTCTTACGACAAGCATAGTTGCCTTTTGTGGCAAGCATTTGGCTGGCATTATATTAACCATCTTGGCCTCATTCAGACCCTGTTCGTCTGCCAAGAACTTGTCCATCTCGAACAGGTTGGGATGCTGTTTTCCCACCGCCTTCTTCAGACATCCATGCCAACCCTTGAGGATGTTGTTCGTGCGGGGACCGTCAGTGTTGAAATGGTTCCAGCTACCTATTTCCAGGTCCCTTTCAATCCACTGGGATGTCACGTAGTCAGCCACTTGACTCACTCTCTGATCTTGAGGCATATCGAGATCCATTCTTCAATGTAACCATTTGCTCATAGGTATCTTCCACCACGAGAAGTAGGAAGAAACTTGTGCATTGTGCATTTGCCATAACTGAAGTTGTGGAAATAATGATGACAATTGTCATTTCCAACCTTCTTATAGCATGCAAGTTTATGTAAGAAATTGAACAACTCACCAGCATCCTACGGTGATACTGTGTTATATATATCAGTTGCTTGTATACAATGTGATGGGGCAGATTAATCCCAGAGACTGGAGGGCAGTCTACTCAGTGATGGTCTCTTATTTCCTTTTCAGTGTTATAATTCACCACTACAGGACATATTTTTTCCAAAGAGTCTAAACGACGATTTACCATTTTGTTTACTGTTATTAACTTTAGTCATCCTATTCTACCGCATAGGCCCGTTTTAATTTGTATTGCCCCTTTCATATGAATACATATGTGGATCCCATCTATAAATTTAAGACGAAAGAAGGTGAAGTTACACCAGTTGGCAGTTACTTTTTAGCGAGTTGCCACAATGACTCTAAAGTTATTGCCCTTATAAAGTGTTTAGACTTGATTCCACGAGTCCTAGCTGTTTATCGTGGAGGTGGAACCTTCTCCATTGGCGTAGAATATATAATAATTTATGTAGAACACTATCATAGATTACTTAAGAAAGAATAAAGAATTAGGGCATTGTTCCCCCAGTTTTTGTCTTTTGCGAAGTGACACTCTTAAACCAATATGTGTAATATTGGGCCTCCACTGGACGTGATTCCAGACTGAATGAAAAATTCTGGTGAATTTGGCCCATATAAATTGCTTATACATTCAATCATCAGACTAGACATGAACATATGGCAGGTTTTTCAATGTTGGGTTTAGGTCAGTAAGATGAGTAGACTTTGGATTAATTGTCAATTGTCAAGGTTTTTCAATGTTGGGTTTAGGTCAGTAAGATGAGTAGATTTTGGATTAATTGTCAATATGTCTTTTTTTTCAATTCTGATGGAAAGTAATAAACCTGAGAGTGACTATATTATTTTCATTCAAAATGTTGTTTATACCTCTTTCACATTGAGACTCTCAAGGAAAGAATCAGAGTCAAGGCCTCTTTGTTCATACTGTGGCATGTCGCCTTTCGTTCGTTTTACAACACGACCCTTGCGTCTGTCATCTCAGCCACATTCGCAGGACCTCCAAGACAGTCAATAATCTCATCTAAAGGGCTGAAACAAAAGAATCAATTCATAATTGTTAAAAAAATGAAGAACTGTTAGTTTCTTTCCCATGAGAACAATTTGATCTTCAGGTTACAGTAGGCCTCATGTATGATGTACACATTTCATACACAAAGTCTCATTAATCGATCAATAGATACAACCTTATAACGAAGTGAGAAGCATTTCAGATTTAATAATATTGTTTGGGAGATCATGTGCCACTGGGAAAACACCTGAAGAAACTGACTACTGATGTAAGTAAATGACATGTTTTGTTGTCCTGTAATACAACATTATTTTCATGATATCTAATATAATTTTATGTATTTTAAAATATTTATGTATTTTATATGTATTAATCTTTGTTAAACTTATCTGATACTAATGAAGTTTGCAGATTTTTCTATATGATTTTGTTTGATAAACTGCCAGCACAGAGAGCAAATAAATAAAAATTGTATTGTTTGTATACATGCACTGAGAACACTCTGCATTTCTACCAAACACAGAAGAAATGACATAGTCACCACCATACAATCTGACTGGGTAGACAGCATTTGCCTTTCACCTGATTTCAAGTACTTATGCCTTAGTACTGATGACATAGGTAATATTCGTACAAACCTGTAGAGGTTACTGATTCTTTGAAGAAAGTCCTACTTTGGGTACATATTAGCATTAAAATGTCCATTTAAATATCCTTCGACAGTTGTAACAATATTTTAATAAAAATATTTACAAAACAAAAAACTTGTTTTTGTGTTGTTCGACCACCCCTACAGGGACCCTATAGGGACCCTACAGGTAATTCTCGCTATCTACCTCGCACCTCACTTTTCATGCTGAACGTATCAGACGGGTGTGGAGGCGCGTGGCTGTACCTCAAGGAGGATTTCTTCTGAAAAAGAATCGTAACCTGTAGAGGTTACTGATTCTTTGAAGAAAGTACATACAGTCAAATCCCGATGAGTCGAATGCCGGTGTCTCGAATATTATGCATAACTCGAAGTACCTGTCCCAACCATTCCCTGTTGTAGTTGTCATCATTTGATTTCCGGTTACACAAATTCGTCTCATAAATACACACGATGACTCGAGAAGGAAATTTGGTCCCATGAGATTCAAACAACAGCAATCTTGTATACATAAGCCGAAGTCAGTCAATGAGAAGTTGATTGGTGTAGCAAACTGATCCAATTAACAATTTTACGGAAATCTCTGTCTGTGCTAATCAGACTGGAACTGATAAGGTGCCCCTATTAGTGATATGGAAATCATTAGATAAACAAATGCTTAGGCGGAGGAATAAGGACTGGATCATTTTTTTTCCCACCCTCATAGACATACCTATGTCTCGAATACATCGATAAGTCGAACTTATTACTTGGTCCCAAGCGATTCGACTCATCGGGATTTGACTGTATAAGCATAGGACAGACTCCCATAGATAGTGTGTTGGGAGCGGCATTCTGTCTGACAGATTTAACCCATTCTCATGTGGAATCTGCGACTGAGCGTAGATAGAAAAACACACTTACCCAGTCACCTGACCGCCAATGTCACTCAGGCGTTGGCCGTGGCTTAGGGCTAAGCTTATATGCTGATTGGATTAGAAGCGTGTCAAACAACCCCAACCCCCAACCAATAATTTGGAGGAGTACACTATGGGGGACCCGCCAAAATATTCCCAGTAATATACACCCAGGCAGCGATGAGTGGTGAGATGGAAATAACTAGGGAAGCGAGTACACACCGTAGAAGTGCGGGCAATTACCACCACCAAGCACTATCACCGATAGAATGGGGGGAAAAACATAATCCAACACCAGGAAGTGCAGAATGATATATAATCTCCAAAGCTCACTCGGCTTGAGAGTTACGACTCTGCCCACTGTGGAGAACTGTCTGGCCAAACTGAGCACTCACGTGAATGTCTGTCCAGCTGATAGCGATGAACGTACTCGGTCGGCTCTAGATAGATGCTGAGCAGATCTCCTCAATGGGTAGTGCCGTGGCATATGCCTTTGATGCTGTCACTACCCTAACCGAATGAGATTTCAACCCATCAGGGGGAGTTAACCCTTTGTTAAAATAGCCCATACAAATGGCAGAGACGTTTGTTTGTTCGCCGGAAGGCCACCCTTACCACCGCCATAACAGCAGAACAGCTGTTTATCCTTACGGATATAAGCCTTGAGAGTCTTAAAGACATCTAAGGCGTGAGCACGTCGAAGAAAGGTACCAGACGATGGTGGCTGAGTGAAAGCTGGGAGTTCAATAGGTGCCGTTACGTGAAAGGAGCCTGCAGTTTTAGGACAATAAGAGTCTGGCAACCGAATGCTGACCCGATCCTTATGGAAGACAGTCAGCTCAAGATCCGCTGACATTGCGTGAATGTTGCCGACCCATCTGTCAGATGTTACCGCCACAAGAAAGAGTGCCTTCCAACTTAACAGCTGGAGAGAGAGAGTCGACAGATCGAAAAAGAGAGGACCGGACATCCAATCAAGAACGATTGACAAGTCCCATGGGGGACTAATCCGGCGGACAGTCGGTCAGATTCTGTCCACGCCTGGTAAAAAGCGCTACACCAGAGGGTGTTGCCCCAAGAGTACACCATCAGCAAGTATGTGACAGGCAAAAATAGTCATGGAGTAGCCTCTGATAGTAGAAGCGCGAGACCTGCTTCTAATTTAGATTGCAAAAACTCCAAAACTGTGACTAGATCTGTAGAAAAGGGATCAAGAATCCCTATGCCGACACACCAGTGCGCATAACAGGCCCATCTATCCTCATATTGAACGTTTGTCGAATCCCTCCGCGAAGCCAGAATTGTGTCTGGAACTGATGCAGGACTTCCGTTCACCTTGAGCGATTCCCGACAGTGGCCAAGTCACCCACTGAATCCTGGGATTCGGGTTGGGCACTCCGTTCTGGGATCGAAAGGGTAATAGTACAATAGGCTGAGCCAGATGCCTGATGATTACCAGAAAGCAGCGGTGCGTTGACCAAAGAGGTGCAAGGAGGACAAGTAGCCGAGCTGGTTGGGTGGCAAGCTGCGAGAGGACCCTATGAATCATGGGTATCGGTGTAAAAACGCCTACAGAACCCTGTCCAATTGAGCTGGAAGTGAGGTGAAATTGGGTTTTACGTCGTGCTTGAGAATATTTCGCTCATATGACGACCTGCATGCGTGTGTATGTGTATGTGCGGCTGCTTGTACTAGCCCAGACTGAAGCTGGTTTTATAGTGCTAGCCCACTGAGATACCATGCCGCAGTGAAGCATGAATACCCCACTCCGAGCCGAACAGTTCTTGTTGTACCCATTAAAGCCGAGCGCCAGGCAGGGACCAACAAGTACCATATTTTAACGTCTTTTGGTATGACGCGGTCGGGGATCGAACCCGCGACCTTCCGCTTTCCGGGCGGACGCTCTAACCACTACACCACTGAGGCGGTCAATTGAGCTGGAAGGCATGGTCCACAAGCTGCCTCTGAAGGGCAGAGAGTTACGCCGAGTGGATGACAACCTTGAGCTGCTGTATGGCTTTCCCATACTGTTCCTCGAACAATCGGTAAGCCGACTTCAGTGCTTGGCCGTTGGTGGTGAAGGGAGGTTTGTACAGCCCTCCTCCCCCCCATCAACTACTGGCGATCGAGCTCTGGGAGATCAAATCGTGTCTGGGTACCTAGGAAAAGGGGGTTTACCACCTCTGCCAGGAGAGAAGACAGTATGCGGAGCTGTGTCTTGGCCACCCTACAGAAGGCGGAACTCCATGGGGTCGGGACCGTCGGAAGCGGCGACTACCTGAAGCAGGACGGTGGCGATCCTATCGCGCACCTATCTCGGGGACGAACCGAGCGAGAAGCTAACTTCCCCCGGCGCCTCCCTACACTCCTAATCTTCCATGGCCTCCTCAACACGGTCCTCCAGGAGTGAACTCTCTGTCTCCAGAGATAACTCGAACCCAAGCCAAGGCACCAAGACCCTAGGGAAGAGCCTGGTTTCGACAGGTTTCGCAGGAAGAATAGGCTGAGCCAAGGACGTTGAGGCGAGTGGCGGCTCCAGGCGGCAGCTTGTGATTGTGATATTGACAGAATTGGAGGTGCAGGAGAGGAAGGGGTGTTCTCAGCCACCTTAGCTTGCTTGCCCCCTGCTTCCGTGGATGCAGAGGAAGAAGAGGTGGAACTCTTCTCATTAGAAGACTTTTGGGATGGGGGATCCTGAGCCCAGATATCAGGTGGGGGTCCTGGGGCGGTTTAAACTGCAACAAACAGAACCACGCTATTTTACTAGCAGGTAGCTGTTGATAGGGGTTTACACGTATACACAAGCAAATGGCAAAAAATACAACGCACGGGCGAGATTAAATTCTAATAGCTAAAGCAATTTAATCGACTAAACACGCTAACATGTAAAGCAGAAAAAAATGTCCCGCTATAACCTGCATACATATAAAATGAGTAATACAAGGGTGATCCGAAACGAACACACTTACGAAATTACTCAACCGTGACTTAAAGTAATTTCACTGAAAGCGAGAAAGTTAGGGCAAGCCTACTATATAATATGAAAGAATTATATAGAACTACTGACCATAAAGAAGCATAGCACTACAACAATGATAGAAGGGAGTAAAAACCGCGTGGTCTGACATCTTGCCCGCCACATGGCTGCAAGACAGACAACCCATCAGTAAAGGTACAACAAATTATGAATGAAAATACCTACATATAAATTCCATCTAATGCCTGTGAGTAAAGAAAGGAACCATACATAGAGTATTTGAATCTTTCTCACTCATATTGACATAGAACAGGCAAGAATCCTGAGAATGAACACATGCACGTCCTTCCTGAGAAACGACATCATGAAAAGTGAGGTGCGAGGTAGGCGGCGAGAGTTACCTGCTCTTGGCCGTAGGGGCCCTGAGGGGCCCGGTTGGGGTGGTCAAACAAGACGAAAACGAGTTTTTGTTTTGTAAATATAATTATTAAAATACTGTTACAACTGTCGTAGGATTTTGTTTTGTATATATTTTTATTAAAATACTGTGACAACTGTCGTATGATTTTAAAATCAACATTTTAATGCTTATATGTAAACCAAGGAGGACTTCTTCTCAAAAGGAATGTGACATTTTGTGCCTACTGACATCAACCTTGGCATCTTTTCCCCTTTCAAACTAGATTTGGTTACAGCCCGGGTATGAATTTCCCTCATGTGAGATTCTGTTACAAGGATTTTAGAGAAACAGGTCAAGAGAAATTGTCTAGCAGGAAGCAGAAGTAACTATTAGTCGCAATTACTTGCATTACTTCTGAGTCTCAGTACATTTCAATGTATACCAGATGTATACAATGTTGCCAAATGAAAACTACTCACTGTATTACTAGTCATTCATTTAATTCTGTGTGCTGCACTGATCATTCACTGAAATATGAGAACCCAGCTCACTAGTGGAGCCAAAACTAATATCCCAAATATAACAAGAAGACAAAGTCATCAATATCCCCCGCAATGGCAAAATACTCTTCATGATTATGTCTACGAGTTAGGATTATGTCAAATATTAGGTGTGTATATAGAAAAGTGGAAGGAGAGCATTGGAAGGTTTTTAAAGTTCTGCTCCAGAAAATAGCACTATCACCAATTTCAGTCAAAGTGAAACTTGTTGCCATGGAAATGCCAAAATATTTTATTCAGAATTCCAAAACTACCAAAAGGCACCAGTACACCGCCAGACCAATCTATGTGCCAAGTTTGGTGAAGAAATAGTGAACGGTTTTAGAGTTTTGCTCCGGAAAAGAGCACTACCACCAATTTCAGTCAAAGTCAAACTTGTTGCCATGGAAACGCCAAAAATATTTTATTCAGAATTCCAAAGCTACCAAAAGGCACCAGTACACCACCAGATCTATGTATGTGCCAAGTTTGGTGAAGAAATAGTGAATGGTTTTAGAGTTCTGCTCCGGAAAAGAGCACTACCACTAATTTCAGTCTAAGTCGAAATTGTTGCCATGGAAACGCCAAAATATTTTATTCAGAATTCCAAAGCTACCAAAAGGCACTAGTACACCACCAGATCTATCTATGTGCCAAGTTTGGTGAAGAAATAGTGAACAGTTTTAGAGTTCAACTCCGGAAAAAAACAAAAGTGCACGGACGGACGGACGGAGTCCATTTTAATACCCCCCGCAAAACGCATTGCGGGGGATAATGATGGGGAAGGTTGTGTTTGACCAGAACCTTCTCGGTCACTTCGCTCTAAAATGTGCTTGATGTACCGTATATGACCGTCTATAAGCCGACCCCATGGATAAGCCGACCCCCAAACTTGACCCTCAAAATCAGTGTCAAAATCATATCTCTCATGGATAGGCCGCCCCCCCGCGATGGGTCGTGGCCAACAGAGACCAGAGTACCCGGTAAGTATGTTCCATCAAAGACGAGACACCATTACGAGAATATTACATAATAAAGATTACCGGTGTTTGTTTACCTTTTTTTAACGATCACTGCTTGCATCAACAACGAGACGCCATTTGGAAAGTGGATATACAGCGTAAGTGTTGGTGAGAATATTACATAATAAAGATTACCGGTGTATTGTGGCAACATGTGTTTGTGTTCCTTTTTTATATCCCGACGATCACTGCTTGCATCAACAACGAGACGCCATTTTGTGAAATCGGTGGGTATGGAAATGTGAACCCAAGAGAAAAAGTACCATCGGTAAATAAAAACTGAAGTCAACTTTTGTTTCAAAATATATTATTTAAGTGTCCATATTTCATCTATATATATATGACAATAAGAAAAATAGTCCACTAACAATAAACACGCGACAAACTCATCCCACAGACAACTGATCTACCAATAATTATAACTTTGGTCCACATTATTCAAAGAATTCACTGTCATATATATTGTGTCTACTCACGGATCGAAACGAAGTGTAGTTGACAGAAAATGCATAATATATTTTGCTTCTCTAAATATCATATTTATTGTAGCAACAAACTGGCTTGCTTATTTTACCCCATTCAACAATCACAAACTGATTACCACCTCGTTCCATGTCACGTGCTTACCACGTTCATGATGGTCCGTATAACCTTAGTGTTGATTATATATTTTTTACATAAAAACTATTACACAATGCTAGGATATATTTCTTTTGGTTAAATAATAGTATTCAATCAATAGAATTCATCCCGTTATATTATTGTGCATGTTTGAACTTGTTCGCGGGGAAACGTGTGCACAGCTGATTGCTATTTCCGGCTTTGTGTACGAGACAAATACGCACGGTAATCTTAATTAATTTATAGAGCAAAAACTGTAACTAAAATTACACAATGCTAGGATATATTTCTTTGGGTTAAATAACGGTATTCTGTATTATATTTTACTGATGACTGCGTCAGAATTCGTCCCGTTATATTATTGTGCATGTTTGAACTTGTTCGCCGGGGAAACGTGTGCACAGCTGATTGCTATTTCCGGCTTTGTGTATGAGACAAATACGCACGGTAATCTTAATCCCTGCAAATAAAACAATGCCCAGCAAAAACAACTTATAACTTAAATGGTAATTAATCTTGTCTAGTGATGTTTAATTGCAAATTTGACGTCTCTACTGACAAAGTCGTCTTCTGTTGTTTGTTCACGCCAAAGTGATAATGATGTTGTTTTCTTACCCCTGGAAAAAGTTTGACGAAAAGTGTAACTCATGGATAAGACGACCCCCTTCTACAGACTGCTTTTTGGTCCTCAAAATTCGGCTTATAGACGGTCATATACGGTAATACTGTATTACATTAATGGCACTTGCTAATTTGACTTGTCACCTCACATAAGTATCTTCAGATTTTCAACAGAAGTCAGTATAAACTTTTCGTAGTTTTGCAAGCACTGGTGACTTGCCTTTGCTGCCCTCTGCACATGTCCATGGGAAACAAGAAATCTTCACATTTTTAGTGTGCTGACAAAGCAAGTAGCAAAAATAGACCTCGATGTAAAAGAAGTAGAACATTCCCAAGAATTTGCATGTACATATATCATTACTATGGATATTCATTGTACATCACCTTTCTAGCAAAAACAGAAAATTATAAAAACCTTTTCTCAACTTACAGCATTTTCCATTTTGGTTGGGAAGTTCTGTTCAATGAAGCGCGAGATAATTTCACGACAGAGGGAGATGAACCCTTTTAATTTTCCTTTGTTCTTGCTAAGTTCACTATCAAGAGATGCCTGCAAAGTAAATACAACAAATTATATACATACAAAAGCAGGTGTGTCCACATTCAGACACAACTTCTGAAAGCAAAGAGGTTTTGTAGCTCACACCAATGTTTTGGGGCTGTATTTATAAAACTTCAAGAACACTGTTATCTGCTTAGAGTTACTCATAAATGTGTAGATATAATGGCTCTGAGACTCTTAGCTAAGAGACATTGGTCACAACCATGGGAATCCCTGTGATAAATTTAGAATTTTTAACCTCTTCTGGTTTGGAGGCAGAATTTCATAGTCATGTGACTATCAAGTAATGTAAACAAGCAGATGTGCATCTGTTGTCACTTTGAGTGGTAGATTCTTCACAAATTGTTTCAATGAGTCCTGCAGCTCACCTCAAAGTTCTGGAATACTTGCAGCATCTTAAATCAATGCATTTCTACAAACTACTTGTTCTGGAATACTACCCTCCTTCCTCAGATGAGGTACTGGGGCTCACTTATAGCATTCCTCAAAGAGAGTACTGGTCCTAACTACTAGCCATCCTCAAGACCTCAGTTGCCTTCTCTATCTGATAGCAAAATGCTTTCATTTATTTGGGAATAAAACTAAATTTTCTTGAAATTTGAGCCATATTCACACATTTAACCTATAGTACCAAGGACCAAAACCATTTCACAGTGAAATGTCACCCAAGATATCATGTGCATTAATTTTTGTCAATTTTCATTCATAATGAATGCAATGTCCTCCAGTCACATGCCAGAAAAATTTCCCAAGGGTATATAGGACGTATGTCAGACATAAGGATTCTGTCCTAAGTATGAAGTTGAAAACCAAATTTGACATCAAGCAGCTCTAAGTATTGATACATGTACTTCAGTAACACATCATTTCTGGAGTTATGGTTCTCTTAACATGATGATATATCTCCACACATTCATTAGCCATAATAATCATGACTCTGTGATGGTAGCTTCCTTTGGAACCATGACTGTGTTGGAAGGATACTGCAACAGATCTTACCTCTCCTGTTGTCTGCAAACCAATCACCACACAGCAACCAGATTCGAGTGCTTCCCTGGCCTCCTTCACAATGCATGGAACTTTCATACCCATACTGCAATAAGGATAAATATATTTACAGCATCCGAAAGTAAGATTTCAGGCGTAACAAGAGTCTTTCATTTATGCTCATTTTAACCATACTAATGAAGCAAATGAAAACTAGACCATGTGAACAGGTAATTGACCAACAACAAAAATCCCAAAACATTCTTCTACCTATTTAAGCTAAAATACGATTACCATGACAGTGAAAACTACATGTTACTTTCCAGCCATAATATTATGTTGATGAAATTATTGGCATACATTTGCATCTGTGAGACTACATCCCGCCCAAATCTTCACCAATGATCTCCATCAAGAAGGAATTCGGACATTGGACTGGCCAGCTTAGTTCACTCACATTTCCCTAATATGGCATCTGTGGGATGTTTTCAAGCCCGAAACTGTCAAGGTCAGGGTAGCCCTTGATATGTAATGTCAGGAGATACCCAGGGTAACCAAATGGTAGTTATCAAAATGTAAGTGTGGTGCATGCATTCACCCACACGATGGACACACCACATCAATATGTCCTTCATCAGTTTTAGACAGTTATCGTCATTATACCTTTACTCAATCAATCAACACTTTATTTCCGTACAAAGGCCATCGGGCCCATATACATACAGTTTCATACATTATAATACAATTTCCATATATGTATACACGCCCATCGGGTAATCTGAACATACAATACAGGTTAATATGGATAAAGTAGATAAAGATACATGATAATACAAAAGTATAATATGGTATTTAATATTATCATTCGTTCATAAGAATGCATTATATATAGGCTGAGCATTTTCAAACTATGTACGTTATTTGTCATAAGTAGTTTCTTAAAGTTATGCATATTCGTTTTGAAATCACTTGGTGAATATTTTCGACGCAAAAAGTAAAATGGTATTCGTCTTATACACCTCCGTAACAGATAGGACACGTTCTCAAATTTGCGTTAATTTTACACCATCGTCCTTCATTAAATTTTAACCTTAGTAATCCTGCTCTTAATCTAACTAAATATTTACGCAATTTATAATCTGCAATTTCAAAAAGGTATTTTTCAGGGTTTAATAAACTTTTGAATTCTCTATACAAAACATAACGTGTGCTATTGTTAAGATCGGATCTCCAGTTTTGTTTAAAAACGTCCACTAAACCCATTTTGAAGATTCCGACAAAACTTACATGATTTCCAACAGTTTGTGATAACCAAACAAATCCATATCCATAAGAAAAGAGCAAATAGCGAATTTTTGAAGCCCATGTCTCATAGCCAAGGTTATCGAGATTAAAGGGACACTGATCCAGAGCAATTTCCGTGGACTGGTTGTTGCTTTTGTTATTGTTTTTCTCCAGTGAGTACCCGGATGAAATCCCAGAATTCATGACTTGTTCGTTACCTCTGCTGCGCCACCCTCATGCGCAATTGACAGTACAAGTATAGACTGATAAACAAAGATGAAATCTTTTTCTCGATAATCTTATGTTGATTTTGTTGTAAAATTTTGTAGACTTTGATGAATAATTTTTTTTCTTATAGAAAAATATTCACTTTGATAAAAATGCTTATTTTGATGTAAAAATTTGATTTCATAGTAATGTTGACTTTATACAAATGTTAACGTAAATGAATGTAGAATTTGATTTAAGAAATAGTTTGACCTTGAATTTGGTGAGAAGCCTGATATAATAGCATTGTTTGAAAGTAAGGCTAACTAAGTACATGGGGAGTCTTGGGGAGAGTAGTGAGCTTGAACTCGCTACTAGTCAAGCTGAATAGTGTATTAACTGGCATTATTTTGATAACAAATGAAAACATTTTAAGTTTAACCATCTGCCAGTGGAACCATCTTTATGGAACAAGCTACCACTGTCTCTACGATCAGAAGAGCAACCAAGTACTTTCAAATCAAAATTAAAGACTCATTTATTCTCGGCAGCCTACCACACCCAACAGCGCGCTTTTGAGCAACCTTCCGAAGGATGGATATTAGCGCTATACAAATGTATATATTGATTGATTGAATGATAATAAATGTTAGGACTGAAATAACGAAGTCAATGTACGTCTTTATATTTTGTCTTATAATCCTAATTAGTTTATTGTCATATTTGTATGCATTTTGAAACTTAATAAATTGCAAACGATCTGCTTATATTTAGTGATTTTATAACATGACTGTAATATCTTGATATCTTATAGATTGCCAACGTGTATCATATTTCACACAGACGCCCTAAGTGCGACCTAGTGTATGTTGTTTGTCTCATTACACTTCACGGCCAAAAAAAAATGATCCTGTTGAATACCATAAAATTAAATAAAAACAAAATGCAAATATTAAAATTAAAACAGAAGGAAGGAGGAAGGAGAGTATTGAAAGGTTTTTAAAGTTCTGCTCCAGAAAGGAGCACTATCACCAATTTCAGTCTATGTCTAACTTGTTGCCATGGAAACGCCAAAAATATTTTATTCAGAATTCCAAAACTACCAAAAGGCACCAGTACACCGCCAGATCTATCTATGTGCCAAGTTTGGTGAAGAAATAGTGAACGGTTTTAGAGTTCTGCTCCGGAAAAGAGCACTACCACCAATTTCAGACTAAGTCAAACTTGTTGCCACGGAAACGCCAAAAATATTTTATTCAGAATTCCAAAACTACCAAAAGGCACAAGTACACCACCAGATCTTTTTATGTGCCAAGTTTGGTGAAGAAATAGTGAACGGTTTTAGAGTTCAGCTCCGGAAAAGAGCACTACCACTAATTTCAGTCTAAGTCAAACCTGTTGCCATGGAAACGCCAAAAATAATTTATTCAGAATTCCAAAACTACCAAAAGGCACCAGTACACCACCAGATCTATCTATGTGCCAAGTTTGGTGAAGAAATAGAGAACGGTTTTAGAGTTCAGCTCCGGAAAAGAGCACTACCACTAATTTCAGGCTAAGTCAAACTTGTTGCCATGGAAATGCCAAAAATATTTTATTCAGAATTCCAAAACTACCAAAAGGCACCAGTACACCACCAGATCTATCTATGTGCCAAGTTTGGTGAAGAAATAGTGAAAGGTTTTAGAGTTCTGCTCCGGAAAAGAGCACTACCACCAATTTAAGGCTAAGTCAAACTTGTTGCCATGGAAATGCCAAAAATATTTTATTCAGAATTCCAAAACTACCAAAAGGCACCAGAACCCCACCAGATCTATCTATGTGCCAAATTTGGTGAAGAAATATTGAACGGTTTTAGAGTTCTGCTCCGGAAAAGACAAATGTACACGGACGGAAGCACGGACGCACGCACGCACGCACCCACGGAGTCCATTTTAATACCCCCCGCAAAACGCGTTGCGGGGGATAATAAAGGAATGATAGGCCATTTATCTGCAGCTGACAAAGTATCCTGTTCCATGTCATGTGTCTTTTAACAGTCTAATATGCCAAAAGTGATACATTGTTTCGGGGATTTCACATTGGTGTATAGTCTCATTGGTCACCCAAGATAGCACACCTGACAACTAATTGCATGATGTCCGCCATTCTGTTAAAAAGTTATTCAGTTAGCCAATAATGAGCAATCAATCAATGTATTGGCGGTTAATCCTTTGAAGGGAGGACGTTGTTTTTACAAAGAGACTTTACGACAGGGTGTATTCAGTATAGATTAGTAAATCTACATACATAAACACTACCTTTTGACAAATCCACTGTGCAGGATAAAAGCAATTAATCAATCAGCGTGTTATCGGTTAATCCTTTGATCGATGTTTGTTTTGTAACTCAGCTGATAATTCCTCTTACTGCACTTCCATGCGTATATTACATAAGATGTAATACATTTGCCACATCAGACCTCAATTTATAATGATGAGTATTTACTCCAGACACTAGAAATGCCAAATGGGAACCTTTGTTAGGTAATCTGAGTGGTGTTATCACTAATTATACCTTTTATATATTCATTAACTGACCATCAAGTGAATTGTGACAAATAACATGTGCAGGTTTACCACCAAACAAGGGTTACAGCAAGAGAGTACTTATCGCTGTATTGCATGCAAGTTTGATTGCCTGAAAGAAATAATTATGGGCAGACACTGTTTTGAGGATACGAACGGAACTTCATTGTTACATAAGAAATATATATAAGCATTTGCTGTGTACTTAGTTAAAAACTGTATATACCTACGTACCTAAGTAAAATTTCATATTTTTTTTGCAATGGCAAAGTGGGGTTGTTTAGCTTATGGATTCAAATATATCAAAAGTGTGTTTTTGATAGCATACATAATAGACATCAAATTTTAGGTAAAAAATAGAGTATCAAATCGAGGTAAAAAACACAGAAATAGAATCAAATTGGATCAGTCACTATACATTTGAAAATCTGAAAAAGCCTACACTGCTGGGATACTTTATTACAATCAAACAAGAACTACCTGGGATATTTTCCAAATAACGGCATCTGATGGGCATCCACCCTTCCTAATGTCCCACTGATTAGGTTGAAGAAATTCTGCCAAGGTGGACAGTAGCCCAGTCCCTGTGTCCGTCACGGTCGAGGGAGCAAGGGCTGACCAGTTTGCAGCTAGGTTTCGTAATTAGACTGTTGGCTGGAAACATTAATCGCTCTGGATCAGTGGCCCTTTAACTCATTAAGCCCGAGAGACCCTTCACTACTCAACACCTGGAACCCCTCGCTGATTGCCCGGCTCGCTGTTGCGAGCTAATTAGTGCTATTCACACCTGATTTCCCTGTCAGGTTTCGGGGATGACAGGAAACTGTCTAGTCATACAAACAAGTCCTGATTGTTTAATTGTGTCGTAAAGATACATGTTGAAAGAAAGCAGGTGTGAATACATATCATGTATTGCAACGTTTTATGTAATGTTATTGCAAGTTGCTCTTGTAGACCTTTGGCGGCTTGTACATTTATGTTTTATCAACATATGTAAGTATTCTTTGTATGTAAGAGATGAGACATACATAAACAAATTCTTTCTCTT